TTGCCCCCCCCCGCATTTCCACACTTCCTTCACCCCAAGTTCCTACCCCACCTCCCGTAACCACCCACCCCGCTCCGTGCACCTCACACCCTGCCCACAACCAGCACCTATCCCCACACACATTTCCACACCAAGTTCCTTCAGGAGCGCACAGAGTCTCTGCTTCTCACAGAAACAAATCCCCGAATTTCCAGTCAACGTGACTGAATCCCCTCCTTGCCCCCTTGGCCAGAAAACTTTCCTGAATCACCACCGCACCAACGCACAGTCTCCCCCAGGAATGAAGGCACCGTCTCACCGTACACTTTTCCTCTCACCCCACCACTTTCCACAGAAGTGTCACCATATTTCCACAGACTAGCACAAGAAGTTGGGGGGAGAGGGGAGCAATAATCCAGTTTCCCACAGAAATATGATATTTCCCCCCAAAAGCTGACAAATCACCACAAACAAATCACAATGGTCCTCACAAAACACACCACAGTCCCCCCTCACCACGGCATCACACTATGTTCCAACTGAGAAGAGAGTTTTTCTGGGGATTTTTTTTTTGGTTAGAAATCGGGCAAGTTGCCACTCAGCAGGGTTTTGTCTCCTCTCCGCAAGCAAGGTGTCAGGGAACATATCCAGCCTCCAGCCGGGGGTCTCTGAGGAGCTGCCGTCTATGTGAGGACCTTCCCGAGAGGGGCACGCCTGTCCCAGAGCCGCACGGCCCGCCATGGAGCCGAGTGCCGAAGGCTGCAGGGCCAGGGCAGTTGTGAGGGGAGCAGAGCTAAAACAGGACCACGGTGTCTCTGGGGCAGAGCAGGCCAGGCCGCGGGGCACAAGCAGCTGGGGGCTGGGACTGGGGGGCATCGGCAAAAGTGGGGTGTTTGTGCTAGAGGAGTGCGGGACTGGAATAGCGTGAGTCTCTGCTGAGTATGAGCAGGGCCGAGTGTCAGGAGTGAGGGGCACCACTGAAAAATGAGGTCCTGGGGGTTGGGAGTGAGGGACACCAGTGAGAAATGGGGGGGCTGTGGGTCAAGAGTGAGGGGCACCAATGGAAAGTGTGGGGGCTAAAGCATAGAAGAGCACTCCCTCCTGGCTTTTCCAGGGCACAGGCTTTTGAGACCAGACGTGCGATTGTTTGTTGTTGAGCACTGCAACGCAGACGGCTGCTACCGGTCAAAGGTGAGCAGGGAACAAACCCCCAACCCCCATCTAGATGGCATTCGAACCAGTATTGGAGCCACCAGCACCAGGGACCTGGTGGATGACATGCTGACCATCACAGAGGATGAGATCAAGTTGAGCACGCACTGCTACCTCCTCCCCGCACGCCCAGCAAGCATCTGCTGCTCCCAGGAGCCTGCAGTGCCCTGCGATCAGCATGCAAGCATCTTGCCTAGTGCCCCCAGCCTCACATTAGTAGAGGTGGTCTGTGCCTGCCTGGGGCAATTCAGAAGAGAGTGAGAGCCGACCCCTACACTGAACGCCTAACTCAAAGTGGGGGGTGGAGAGGGTGGGTACCATCAGTCGGGGTAATCAGTCACTTGTCCGTCTCTGCCCTGCAGGAGGCCACACAGCTGGTGCGGAAGAGGATGAAGCTGCTGGGTAGGGGTGGTGGCCGTGCTCTCCCTGGGATCCCAGGAGATGCACCGGAGGCAAGGGACAGCTGCATCACGCTGTGTGGAGGAAATGTGGACCTGGGCTCCCTGGCCTGGCTCATGGGAGCCCAGGGCAAAGAAGCTGCAGGAAATGAGTGGCCTGTGGAGTCACCTACCCCAGGGAGGGGACACAGGACCAGGGCATTTCTGCACTGCTGCTGTTTGTACCAGGGAAGCTCCAGCTACTAGTAAGCCAGATGCCATTCAGCACAAAAGGGCCTGGCTTTTGAGGAAGGAGGGGGAGCTCTTCCCTGCAGGGAGAACACACCTGTGCCTGACCTGTAATGCTGCAGCCCTGTCTGGTCTATCGAAGGTAGGGGACGGAGCCAGAGAGCTGTGGCAGCCAGGCCCATGCAGAGTCCATGCCCACAGAGCTTGGAGACCAGCCAGCTCCCGTAAAATGAGAGCCCGGGCTCCGGCAAGATACAGCCAGCTGGGGCTCCTTCCTAACATATCAAGAAAACAGGAGGAGGAAGCACAGGTGCCCTGGTGTAATCTGAGGGGTTTCAAACTTCCCAAGGAGAGAGCAAGCACAGCCTGCAAAGTCCAGAAGCTGCCACACCTGGGAACACAACAGCCACCTCACAAAAATAAGGCAAGCACTAGGACCTCTGTAGGCTGCACAATATATTTGCCATTGAAATAAATACAATGGAGGCTGCAGCAGAGTGGGAAGGCACTATGCTAACACACCCCTGCACCCAGGAGACTCCTCAGGACTCCTGGACGCAGGTTCTGGAGGGCTATTCCATGTCCACCTCTGGCACGGGGAGAGGCTCCTCGTTTCTCACCCACGGCACCGGCTCTGGCACATACGGGTCATATGTCCACTTGGGAAAGATGCGTTTGTACAGGTTCATCAGCACCGTGTCCTGGGACTTCAGCTGTCCATCAAAGTGGCACTTCATGTGGCCATGGGTCCCTAGGCAAAGGGAGCAAGCAGGGCTGTGGGCAGCTCTGCCAGGTCAGGGAGGGGTTTGCTGGGCACGAGCTGGTCCAGCCCACACCACGGAAGGAAAGCAGAGCAACCCACCTCCAAGCTTCCCTTACCTAGCGGCTCCTTGATGTGTCCCCTACGGCCCCATTTTGTTCTCAGCTCAACAGGCTTAAACCACAGCACATCCTCTGTAGATTGAAGACAAGATACATGCGAGACAGGCCAGGCCCATATGGCTAGCTCAAGCTGTCACCCTACAACAGCTATGGGTAGGGAGTGCACACCAGGCTTCCTGCTGCACGCTGACCATGGCTGCAGCAGGGATGGCCACGTTTAAAGTGCAACAGCCTGCCAGCAGGCAGTGGAAGGAGACTACGGGAGTGCCTGGGACATGCCAACACAAGGGGGACAGACCATCCCGACCTCTAGCCCTGCAGCACAGGGTTTCAGAGACCCAGCTGTCTGCAATCACGAACTGGACTTCCCTGCGGAAGCTGCAGGGGTCCTAGACACACGGACTGCCCTGCCCCACCTGCGAGTACTGTACCTCTGTTAAAGAACATGTACCGCACAACCGCCGTCTTGCTGAAAATTTTGAAGGGGTGACCGCTAAGCACCAGCCTCTTGATGATGAGCCTGTCTGGGTCCACTGTCAGCAATGAGCCTGTGGCCAGGAGGTCGTGCATTCCTGCCCCAGGCAGAGATGTTAGACAATCTACCACTCAAGGGGCTCAGCCCACCCCCACCCCCACGCCACAACCAAGGGGATGGGTTGCTAGGGCCACTGATCCAGGGAGCCAGTGAGTTCACCCTCCTGGACAGAGGCTGCAGTGCAGGGAGGACCTACAGCAATGCCAGAACTGGGCCCTGGCTCCATCCATCCAGACAGCAGGACCCTGCGTCAGCTCTGCCCCTCCAGCACCAGACACCCGACTGCAGGAATGGGCAGTCACATCCCATTCAGGGTCCCTACCCAGCACACACTCACGTACCATTATTCCTCTGCTTGAACAGCAGCACCAAGGCAGGCGGGAAGGTGATGGGAGCATAAACTGTCACCACCAGGGCAGTGTCAGGCCTCAGGAAGCGCTCTGCTTTGTGCTTGTCAGCTAGAAGGCAGAAAGGGCAAGTGATACTCAGTTACTAGCCAGCAACACACAGGGCAGCTCCAGGGCCCACCCAGAGCCAGGCAGCTCTGAACCCTGCCCCCCGTCAGGCTCAGCCCTGGGAGCATCCTCCAGCTGCAGGGAGCAAGGATTCTCTTCAAGTCCCATTCTCCCCCCAAGTCGGACAAGGAAGTCACAGGGATCACCCATGTAAACACTGGGGCAGGGCCTGGCCCAGCCCAGCCGCTGATGTTCCTCAGGGCCCTAGGCAGCTGCACACAACCCAACCCACACATCCACTCCAGCATTGGGACCCACACCCTCCTGGAAGCCTCAGCGCCAAATGGGTACATGTTCACAGAGTCCCTCAGCCACGTTCAGACATCATGGCCATGATATCAAAGGCTTCCTGGAAGCCCCCTCCACCCGCTACATGCAGCTCCCCTGTGCTCCGTGTGGCTGCAGACCCTGCCCACCTGAGGTGTGCTGGGAGTACAGGGGTGAGGCCCGGAAGCGCCTGAACCCACAGTGGAAGATCAGCTCCTCCTTGGCCTTCACTGGCTCCACGTTGCCTGGGTGTCGCCTCACCAGGAAGTGCAACAGGGACATCTGCAGAGAGAGGCCGAGCCGAACAAATGTCAAAGCCTGAAACCACAGACTTTGCAGCTGAGGTCTCCCCACAAAGCCAAAGCCCCAGTGCTGGGCACCCAACACTTCTCCACCTTGGGTCCTTCCCATGAGCCTCCACTTCCCTGCGGTAGAAGCCTCAGAGCCATAAAGGGCATCAGAAGATATCAGCCAGGTTCAGACATGCTGGCTTAACCCATCATTGGCAACTCCACCCTGCTCTACTCCAACCTCCAGGGCAGGACCTGCTCAAACCCAAGTAGTGCAGGGAAGTTTCAGCCCTATGCAACCAGATCTTGACAACCAGTAAAAGCAGAGACCCTTAGCCCAGGGCACCCAGAAGGCCAGGCCCGTGTCAACCATGTGGGAAAGCCATCACCCTCCTGCCAACAGCAGCTTTCCTGCCCTCCCGTGTGACTGTAGGTCATCAGTGTACTAACTTCTGTTCACCTTCTGCTCGTGGGGAAGCAGTGAGAATAGGACCAATGGCTTCCCCTGCCTGAAACTCTCCATTACGGACACAGGAACACTGGAGATGTGAAGTGTCACGTACCAGCCAACCTGTCAAGAGAGGAAGCAAAGTCAGTGCAGAGACCTGTCTGGCAAGGGGGAAAGGAGGAGCATGGGTCTGCATGCACCAGGACCAAGAAAACAGCACAAGCCAGGCTTTATCCAGGGCCAGGGACCAGCACTGCTGCCATTTCACTGCCAAACCCCACTGCCCACAACCCAGAGCAGGGCAGGGAATAGGTGGGTAAGGGAAAGGCAGATACCGCGGCTCCATTGATCTCCTCCTTCTCTAACTGCCGGAAGACATGCTTCCTGGTTCGGGAGAAGTCCTGGAACTGGAAGATCCTGGCGTAATCCCTGGGGAGGTTTTCTTTGGGATCCCATGGTGAGGTCCGGAAGCTCTTGAGCCCCCTGTACTTCTGGAAGCTGTGGGCAGAAAATTTGCTGAGCAGCCGAAGCCTCTGGATTCTTGTGGCATCCAGTAAGCGTGTCCCTCACAAGGGCTCCTCCTCTCCAGGAAGGGGCTACTTACCGGACTCTGGCAGGCATGTCACGGGGCGTGTCCACCTCGTCTGGGAACATTTCATCCGTTCGCTCCTGCCTGTACTTCTCCAGCACCTGCTCATCCTCCTCTACCCTCTCGTCATACTGGTCGTCACGGGCAGACTCTGGCAGAGTCACTGTCTCGCACTCCTCCTCCACAGGCTCCTCCTCCTCCTCGCTGCTCTCCCCATCCTGACAAGGGGCAGCACAGTCGGCTCATGACGTGCAGGAACCAGTGGCAGTGTACACCAGCAGATGCTATCTGTGCAGCTCTGCAGGGGCTGCTGGCCTATCACAGTGCCAAGGGGAGCCCCAGCCAGAGCTCAGGGGAGAGCAGGCAAGCAACAGGGATCGAACTCCTTTTACCCCTTGGAGACTGGGAACCTGGGTGGCTCTCAGTCTGCCCTCTCTCTGCCTGTCAGAACACAGGTTTGCTTTGGGACAAGTATCACAGCGCTCAGACACCAGATGCAACATCACCTACATCGTTTACCTGGAAAGCCTCTTCCTCCATCAAGTCATCCTCCTCCATGCTGTCACCATCTTCATCTTCCTCACTGCCATCTTCTTCGTCATCCACAATCCAGGCAGCCTGGTACTTCGACGTTCCCTTGGGGACCTTCACCGTCTTCCTTCTCTCCTTCATGGACTCTACCAGATTACCAGCCCCGTTAGCACTGTTCAGGTTTCCCCTTCCCCTTGCACCAGAAGAGCCAATCCAGCCCTAGGCTACCATTGCTCTCCTCCCTTTACACATTAGGGCAGCTACACGAAGAGGATGTGGCTTTAACCATGTGAAAGGATTCACAAAGTGCCTTTCACTATGCAGGAGAGCCAGTAAACAGAGCCTGCGCTTTCATGGGACTTCAGAGAACGTGAACCATGATGCCAGAGTGGAGAACCGCACGCACCCGAAGAACACACAGAAAGCTCCCCTTCCCGACTCAGCCACTGCACATATATTTCAGCTACTACACCACCATGGCCTGAGTCCAGCTGTCCAGCCAGCCTGAGCCCAAATTCAGTAAGCCAGGCAATCCAAAAGCCAAAAGACATGGCTGGGAAGAGGAGCCAGGGTTCTAAGCCAAATGATTTCCATTAGGACTGGTAACTCCCCCACCCCCAGCATCTCAGAGAAAACAAGGCTTCCCCAAAAGCCTGCAGGAAAGCCCAGGAAAGACTACTGCTACTGACCCTCTGCCTCCTTCAGCTCCTCCTCAGTAGGCCAGGTCTGCTCCCCCTCCATGGGGTCCGGAACCACCTCCGACTGCAGCAACTCTTGCCTGCTGGGATCTGCCTTCATCAAGACCTTCACGTCCTCCTCCATCTGGACAGCACCGTTTCCAGACTCATCCTGGAAGGCAGGAGGAAGACAGGGCGCCCCCATGCATGAGCCCAGCCCACTCCAGCGGCAGACCAGATCATAGCGAAGGACAAGATCACCCCACAGCCACCTCCAACCTCAGCAACCCTGTGTCACCACATCCAAGACAGACACTGCACTCTACCCAGAGCTCTCATGGTTGAAGTTACACGAACACCTGCAGCCTGTCAATTCGTCACTTCCCAAGCTGGCCAGCTGTGCTGCATAAAGCCTGCAGCAGGCACTCCAAGGCTTCTTAATAATCAGCAAGGAGCAAACTGGGCTGGCAGGGCCAAGTGAAGCCCGGAACGCCATCCCACCTGTATTTCCATATCCTGGCCCTTCCTCTCCAGATGTTTAGCCACTCGGGGGTTGAGACACAGAGGGTCTGGAGGTGCATCGACCTGGCTCATCTGGAAGTCTCCATGTCCCACAATGTGCACAAGGCTGTTCACATTGAGGGGCTGTCCCCGAATGAAGCCAGATACCTTCAAGGTGCCAACCAGGTCGCTTTCCTGGCTGGGCACAAACTCAGCGGCATGGGCAAGCAGGTAAGCCCGCCTGTCACGGAAAGCAAGGTGTCGCTGCTTCTGGGCAGCCAGATGCCTCAGCAGCAGCAAAGACTCCTGCTCTGTGTTCAAGGGGAAAAGCTTTGCCTCTGGGAAGCGCTTTTCAGTGGCTTTGCTCAGCTTCTTCTTAGCCTCTGTCTGCTTCTTTGGTGGAAGATCAGCCATTCCCTGGACAGCAAGAGCTAAAAAGCAGCACAGAGAACAGTAGAGTTAACAGCCAATACTTCTGCTACCCAGTCAACCAGCTAACACGCGGCTCAGTATAACAAGTGGGCAGCAGTCTGGGTGTAGGGCATTTTCATGCCTCAGCGTCACTGCCATTACGCAGACAGAGAATGCTTCTGGAGAGACAGCGTTCGCCCAGCTAGCCAGCATTTACATGGCCAGAACCAAGAGCTGCCAAACAGGCCAGTGGATCGCCCCGTGCGCTGTCTAGAAACATCTCTCCCTGCTCCGCTCCACTCCGCATACGCCCCGAGGCTGGCAATTCACCTACCGCAGCTAGGGAGCCCCTGTGCGAAGAGACAAGAGAGGCAGTTCTCCCCTCTGCCGTCCCAGCCATCATCCGGGTGCAGCACGAACAGCAGCGTGTCCGCAACCTTGGCCAGGTCTAGCACCGCGTGGAAGTCCCCTACAGACAGGTGATCGTTAGGACAGAGCAATAGGTGCTCAATGAGTGCTCAGCAGCCCGCAGGCCGGGGGTCACTTACCAGCGGGCGCCAAGACAAAGCGCCATCGTTGTCGCAGCCGGGGACAGAGGAGCGCGAAGCCCTGAGCTCCAGCCGCCTCCGAGACCACGAGGTTTGCAGCGTTGCTCCGCAGCAGGTGCAGGGTGTCCAGGCCGTGCACCCCTTCATGCAGTGGCACCACTGCCACCAGGTGTGGCGGCCCGTCCGCGCCGCCCAGCAACCGCTTCTCAGCCAGCACCTGCACACAGAGCCGGCCGCGCGTGAGGCCTCCCGGCACCCCGCGCCCGCCTCCGCATCCCGCCCCGACCACCGACCCCCGCTCACCGCCTCCCGGCGCCGCCGCCGGAGCTGCA